GAAGATGCCACATGCCGCGGAGCGGCTGGGCCCGTGAGCCATGGCCGCTGAGCCTGCACGTCCGGAGCCTGTGCTCCGCAACGGGAGAGGCCACAACAGGCAGAGGCCCGCATGCCGCCAAAAAAAAAAAAAAAAAAAAGGAAGCTATAAAATCAAACATATGCTTGACTATTTTTTCAATATGATAACAAAAGCACCCCCAAAAGAAAAAAACCTGAACAGAAGAGGGCTGGAGAGGTACCCACCAATCTGGTAGTTAACCTGGGGAAACAGACAGAAGAGAGAGGAAGGAAGAAACTTTCTGGTTTCTGAAAAAATATTTTTACAATTAAAAAGAAAAACACACACCTGAACAATGAACCCCTGAACAATGAACTTACACATGCTCACCTGATATTCATGAGAAAAACACACCTCACCAGTCAATGGATGACCCCAGCTCTAACACTGAAGGCCTTTGGCCTAGAGCCCGTGTTTGCCACTTACGGGCTCTGTAACCTTGGACAGACTCTCAGCTGGGGCCTACCTTGCCCTACTTGTGAAAGAGGAACAAAACCTAACTGCAGCTTTTGTGAGAAGGCAACGTATCTGGGAAACGGGAGGTGCTCAACGTACGGGACGTAATAAACACGTTTTGTGAGCAACTTAAAATTTTCAGACAATTCTTCCATTTTCACTGCAACATACAATGAAATGTTGATTGAAACAAACAACAAGCAAGCACACAAGCAAGCAAACACACTGAAATGGTTTCAGGCATTATATCTAAAATACGACTTTTTAAACAGTATGATCACATGAGTCTTACCAAGTTTCATTTATAACATCAATCTAACACTTTTATAAACAGCATTTATTGTACAGAGTACTCTGAAGGAAGAAAAATATGTACAGCCATTTGTTTTCATTAATACGTTTCTATCCTGTCCTGCAATACTGGAAAGGCGGAATGTGGCTCAAAAATAACCCACAGGAGTTGTTACAAATTAGAAAACAACACTTTTTAAAAAGATTTTTACTTTTCTGGTAGAAATATAAAAACTGTGGTTTATGGGGAAGAAATTAAACAAAATAAAGTCCAAACGATTGTTGAGGTGGCTTTAACACTTAAAGTTTTGTCCCTTAAACCAACTTGTCAACAGCAGTAAGTGTTTAAAATCTAAATATAAATAAACGGGCAGCGCTGCCCAAATAGCAGCACAGTTCAAGCAACTTACAGTAACACTTCGGTGTTCTCTGTGCAGAAATAATACTCCCTTCCTGGCATCCCTATGGGGTACACATGCAGGGGAGCTTCACCTCGTGCTGCAACCTACAACTGGACATCCATCCTCTCATCACATGGGGCCGTCCACAACACCACTAAATGTACCAGAACTGATTTGTTTTAAAAAAAAACAAGTGGGTGGGGGAGGCAGGAGTACATGACAGCCATTACGTTGTCTTCCTGAAACCCTTTAGAATAGGGTAGATGTTCTCAAAGGCTTCATAAATTTCTGCTCTGACTTTAGCACCTATGAAGACAAGTTGGAGTAGAGAAGAGTCTGAAACGGCATTTCTTAACATAAAACCACAAGCACAATTCTCTCCATACCCAGTAAGACAGATGCATTAAAACATTAACGATGGACCCTCGTCATAATCCTATTTTTGTTTTTAAGGTGGTATTTTTTTAAGTTGGCTTTTTTAAAAAATTACAAAAGCAGTGCCCCAGGTGACCCAGCCTCCTTCCCCATAGTCTGCCCATGTTGACTGGTGTTGGTCTCTGGACTGTGTCAGAACCCAGCAGGGCAGCAGTGAGAGTGGCTGAATCTTATTCTCCCAATCGCTGCCTTCAAACAAGCTCTTTTGAATCTTCCTTTGTTGATGCAAAATGATAATGGTGATGAACCCCAAAGTTTCAGACAATGGTACCCAACTTAAAACGCCATCTGTTATGCAATGTAATGCCCACCTCCCCCTTCGCCACCAAGGTTATGCTTCAGCTGAAGAACCAGCAGGGCTGTGCTCTGACTTCCCTCGGCTCACTCCCTTTGGTGGGTGTGTTTCCCATCAGAGTGTTAGGGTCAGGGGAAGAGAAAACAGGGGCAAAGCTTCTTTACAAGTCACTAGTCAGCTGTCCCGACACTGTGATATGACCTCTCAGCACTGAGACAATGCCGCTCTCCACACTTTCCAAACTTCGAACACTACTGCCTGTTGCAACTTACCTGTTAATACAACTTTTCCAGAAACAAAAATAAGGAGAACAATTCTCGGTTTGATCATTCTGTAGATTAAACCAGGAAATAACTCTGGCTCATAACTAGAAGGAAAATGGCAAAAACAGTTTAGAAATTAACAGTTGCTCATGCCTTTAGAAAAAATGGGGACCTGAACAAGGGAAAGTACTGGGTAAGCAGCAAACTAATGAGGAGGTGAAGCCCAATTCTTGAGGAGCATCACAAGAGAGAGTGCTCAAGGCCAGTGAGGCCGACTTGTAACTGGCACTTGAAGACCAACTAACGCTATTTCTAATCAATCTGGATTTCCTGACATAAGAACAAGAGCTTTATAAATATGTTCTATAGTCTCTGACCGTATCAAGTTTCATTCTGGACAAGTTTACACCGACTTACAAGAGCCCAATAATCATTCATTTATAAGATCTGACAGCCACACAGTTTACCTTCTAATCATTCACATCTCATCTCCTTCAACTGAAATATCTCTAGCTGTTAACTTTGTTCAGGCAATTTAACCAAAGTGATAGAAAAGAGACTAGTTGGAGACTGAATCTTTCCCCATGTTGC